CATTCCTGCAGTTTCCGTCTGATTGACCTCTCTGTTTTTTTTTTTCTTTCGTGTTTGCTTTTTTTGCATCGTTTGTAAAGGAAATCAACTAATTTGTCAAGTTATCTAAAAACTTTTAAAAGCATGACGGATCTTAAGGGTTTGCTGCCTTTTGCATGCTGCTGCTCTTTCATGCATCTGAGAGCATTTTATTGTTTTTTACATTAACTAAAATAAACAGTTCTTTCATGGTAAAAGTCCCAAATCACTGCCAGTCTACTGAGACAAAACTGATTTTTTTTTCTGGCTCGTGGACAGCCAATGAAGTTAGCTCACGTGTCAGACTGTGATAAGACCAATGGCAGACCCTGTGTTAGAACTTCGTCAGAAGTTTTTTAAGAGTTCTTCCTAAAGATGAAATATTTGGGTTTAAGGAGAGGAATCAGAGCCTGAAGAATGTTTTACTGTCTGCTCTGTGGAGATTACTGCATACGCCTCTTGTCTTTCAGAATGAAAATTGCAGACAACAAAACATCTCAAGGTATATTCTTACATGATGCAAAAGTCATTTCCTGATTGAACATAAATGTTGTTAAGGCAGAAATGAGAGAGAAGCTTGTGGTGCAGGAGATGACAGTGACAAAGGCAGCTTTTTTTTTTGTTTGATAAAATCTCCTGGTCCTTTATTTGAAAGAGCGAAGGGATGAGTTGAGGGCCACACCCTGGACATAAGAAGATATCAAACAGAGGGACTCGTTAGCCGAAGCCTTCCAGGTGCAGACGTGTAACAGTCTAAAGCCTAAATTACAATGAAAAGACCAAAATTCCGGAAGCATCATGTTACTGCTTTGAGTGAGCTCGGAGCTTCACTGAGTGGACGGCTGCTCCAGCTGTGCTGCTGACGTGGCGAGGAACATGTCTGCCTCTCAGTGGAGGCATTCCCAAAGTTCAGCGTGGGCAGAGCCAACTACGCTCTGCCTCCCAGGCTCCACATACATTTATAGATCTGAGAACACTCACTATATGACACTTACTTACACACATCTACCTCTCAAATTTTTGTTTTTTTGTCTTTATTTTTCTCGTCTGACTCTGGTTAAGTCTCCCTGTAATTTTGTTGTTTTTTTCCCCCCCTCAGGCTGCTGCAGCTGTTTTTGGAGACAGACAGGATGTGGCTGAGGAACGTCGTAGCTCTTTGTCTGCTGGCCCTCGCGGCCTCCGCAGAGGACAAGAAACTCAGCAGCCATGCGACCACACTGGCTGACAACAGTGCCAACCTGGCATTCAGGTCTGTAACTCTAACTCTAGGCTAAAAAAAATCAAACTTCTCAGTACAGCAAAACTAAATTAAAACATTTATTTTTTTAAATTCAGCCTTTACCACAATATGGCTAAAGATAAAGGCACTGAGAATATCCTCATCTCCCCGGTCGTGGTTGCCTCCTCCCTGGGGTTGGTGGCTCTCGGTGGAAAGGCCTCAACCGCGTCCCAGGTCAAAACCGTCCTGAGTGCCGACAAACTGAAGGACGAGCATCTCCACGCCGGACTGTCTGAGCTCCTCACTGAGGTAAAGTCGCTGAGAGTCACTACATTCACAGCCTAAAAAGAAAGTTGTGATCGTTTTCACTTACATGTCGTTGCGGACTTGTAGGTGAGCAATGCCAAGACCCGCAACACAACCTGGAAAATCAACAACCGCCTCTACGGCCCCAGCTCCGTCAACTTTGTCGATGAGTTTGTGAAGAACAGCAAGAAGCACTACAACTACGACCATTCAAAGATCAACCTGAAAGACAAGAGGAGCGCCGTGAACTCCATCAACGAATGGGCAGCAAAGTCCACCGACGGCAAACTTCCTGAAATCACCAAGGACGTGCAGAACCCCGACGGAGCCACTATTGTCAACGCCATGTTCTTTAAACGTAAGTGACAGGAACCACATATTTGTCCACGGTTCTTCGTCAGGACTCGTTGTAACATCTTCTCTGACTGTCTCCATGCAGCTCACTGGGAAGAGAAGTTCCATGACAAAATGGTGGACAACCGTGGTTTCCTGGTGACTCGGTCATTCACCGTCGGAATTCCCATGATGCATCGTACCGGTGAATTTTCTCATCATTCTTCATGTTCTCCTTAGGGATACCCTCCCCAAAACAATCCCAAAAACAAAATCTGACCTTTTTTGTGTTTTGTGGTTGAACCGTTCAGGTTTGTACGACTTCCACGATGACGTAGAGAACAAGCTCTTCCTGCTCAACATGCCCCTGGGGCAGAAACAGACCTCCATGATCTTCATCATGCCCTACCACCTGGAGCCCCTGGATCGCCTGGAGAAACTCCTGACCAGGAAACAGGTTGACACGTGGATCAGCAAGATGGAGAACAGAGCTGTGGCCATTTCTCTCCCCAAGATCTCTGTTGAAGTCAGCCACAATCTGCAGGTAAATGATCGGAATTCTTACCCATTCGCAGACGAAGATTCGCAGAAACAGAACCTGTGTTTAAAGCAAATTCATTTTCTCTCTTTTTCCAGAAACACCTGGCTGAGCTGGGCTTGACCGAGGCTGTGGACAAAGCTAAGGCTGACCTGTCCAACATCTCTGGGAAGAAGGAGCTTTATCTCTCCAATGTCTTCCACGCATCCGCCCTGGAGCTGGACGTCGCAGGGAATCCAACCGACACCTCCATCTACGGCACCGAGAAGCTGAGGAACCCTAAACTGTTCTACGTCGACCATCCCTTCATCTTCCTGGTGAAGGACAACAAGACCAACTCCGTCCTCTACATCGGCAGAGTGGTGCGACCCAAAGGAGATAAGATGCGTGATGAGCTTTAATGTTAACTTTGATGAATCAGATCAGGTAGCTTTGTGAAACTAAGTCAGGATCCTGTGAGTGTGTCAAAGTGTGTGTTTGTTTGTTTTTTTGTTTGTTTGTTTTTTAAAAACATTTTCCAGCGTGACTGATACCTCATGAACACGTTCCACTCAACAATCAATACCTGAGATCACAGTTTTTAGCCACATCCAAATTTCCCCGGGAAACAGCTGGGTCTCAGAGTCCGGCACAGTTTGGATTCAATACCTGAGATCACAGTTTTTAGACACATCCAAATTTCCCCGGGAACAGCTGGGTCTCAGAGTCCGGCACAGCAGTCAACATGCTTATATTCAGTATGATCTTTTTCTTTACAACCCGCTCTGGCCAGTGTTGGTTCTGCCATTCACGTGCGTTTTCTTGCAATATCTTTAATGTTTAAAGAAAAAGATCTTTGCACAAGCTCACTTTGTTCCGTCTCCACTCCTGCCCTGCACGAGCTCCTGTGGAAGGGTGACAAATGCTTGATGCTTAATTTATGTCCCCATATATGGCATTTTGTTGCTGCAGGTATGTCCCACCAAGTTGTTGGATCTCTGTGAAAATGAAAAAAAAAAAATCTTGTGTTCATTTTTTTTCAATAAAAATTGTGAAAAATAAAAATCTGTCTGGGCGTCGTATGTTCTACAGACGGTGGCTGAACATACGGACTGAAGAATGTGGGCAGGTCGGGGTCGGGGGCTGGGACGAGGAGGGATTAACATCTTTCCAGTTGGATGAAAATCAGACAAATTCCAGGACTGGAATGCAGAGATGTGACAATAGCCGGCCTTATCTGCTGTGGGTCAAACGGCGTGTTTTTACCTGCAGCCTAAACAATGTGTCGATGGTATCTCTGTTGGGACCCTGGAGTACCAGGTTCTCATGGTAATGGGAAAAACGTGAAAAGTTTAAGAGAAGAAATGGCTGACAATATTGGCCTCCCAAAATAATCGGCTGATTTCAGCATAATTATGTAATATCGGTAGGAATTGTTATCGGTTTTTATCTGCGATAATGAAAACATGATGATGCAATTCCCGGGTTTTGCCAGATGCTGCAATAGCATAAAAATGTATTTTGTACAGACAATGCTAATATGTTGAACCCCTGTAGTGAGGCATAACAATAAAAGTAGGTAAGAAGGTATGTGATGTGACCTAAAAATAGTTTGGGGTAAAAAAACGACTGCACATATCAGTATCGATCGAGTATCGTTTAGACAATATCGCATATCGGCACAAAAAGCTAATATCGGACATCCCTATTTAATCACATAAATAAATTACCCAGAATTCCCTCATTACCCAGCATTCATTTAAACACTAAACTGATTGTTTTGTGAATTGTTGGTTCAAATAAACTACGATGTTAAAGATTGTTTATTGATATGAATTTTGATTTCCACGTCACCCACAGACTTAGCATCATCGCTCTGATCATCACATGTGCGTTTCTCAAAGGCTACGTCGACCCATGTCCATCTAAGGAATCCAAGCATCCTTTGCTCCCAATTTTTAGGAAGCTAATAAAGTATATAAAATGTGACAATATTCTGTCTTTTCTGACCTACGCAGCAGCTGTGAGTCCACAAACGTACACTGAGAATTCGTAACAAACTACACCAGAGAAAGTAGTCAGCCATGGCAGAAACGTTGAACCACCCAGTGGCCAGTTGAAAGTCGAAAGTGCAGTTCTACTGTGCTTCCCCGGTGTAGCTACAGAGGCAGGTAATGATGCAGCTCTCATTACATTATTTCCACCGTGTTCTGCTGCGCTGGCGGCAGGCAGATTAGCCAGTGGATGAATCCTCTTAAACAAGTCTGCTTTAAGCCCCAGGTGAAAGGCTGGATGCTGCGATCCGTCCTCCGTCTGCTCTGCTTTCCCTTTTCTTCACCTCCTAATCTTCCTGAGCTTTTATTTCACAAATCTTTTTTTTTTTTTGCTCATTCAGCTCTTTTTGTCCACCGGCCTTTTGGCCTTGCGAAAAAGTGTCTTGATCTCCTCGGTCATCGTCTCCTGCCAGTTGTCCCTGATAAAAAAAAAAAAAAAAGTTGATGAAATGCTGATTCAAGGGTTTGGTTGTAAAACACAGACAATGTGATGAATCACAGACAACACCAAACATGGCAGCAAAATAAAAAAATTAAAATTAAAAAAAGCAACAAAACAGATGTCAGACGTCCATTGTGAAATTAAAATTACAATCACAATAAGAAACAAGGGTCTGTGAACTCAGAGGGCTTTTGGGCAGCTGGGGGCAACAAGGAGATGAGATCAGGAGATTAAGACGACGGCAGAGTCACAGAGAAATCACGTTCACAACACGGCTCACGACTGAAGAGCAGGAAGTCGAAGGTTTTACACCAAACCAGCAGAGGGCTGTGCTACACAAACACACCAGGTGACATGCAGGTTTCTACCTCAGGAGACCAGACTGAGGAGGTCACGCCTTTTTCTCAGCCTTCTTTCTCTTGTACGCAGCTATATCATCTGGGTTTAGTCCGTGATTGTCGTCCCTGAAGTGTCCAACAGTCGTGAGCAGCAGGTTCAGGACATTTAAGTTTTGACAAGTGATAGTTAGTGACGTTCTTACCCTGGTTTGATTTCTGGTGGTTTTGGCAAAGGCTTCATGAAGTCGGTTTTTCCCACGAGCCAGTAGGTCTCTTCAATACCTTTACCCTGCAATATAAAAGCCACCACTAGGACAAAGGTCTCATCTATGGTTGGGGTCTGAGAGTCTCCTACAGTTTTAGACTTAGCGTTACCTTTAACTCAGTCTTCCCTCTGACTTCTATTTTATAACCTTCATTCAGAGAGTGGAGGATGTTCACCGTGGTTATGTTCACGTGGATTCTATAAGCTGAGGGGGGGAGGGAGGAGGGGGGGGGGGACTGTATGAAAGACCAAACCAACCAAAAGCAGAAGGTTAAAGACAGAAGTTTGTGATTCTCACGCAGCCCAGTGGACTCCATGCGGGAGGCGGTGTTTACTGTGTCCCCAAAAAGGCAGTACCGAGGCATGGTCAGACCCACAACACCGGCAACACAGGACCCTGTCAACAGAGACAAATACACCACAGTCATCGCTGACTGTCTGGTGTCATCAGCAGTGAAGGAAGGTATGATACCATTAATCGCCATTTTGATACAGTATAAAGCATTTCGAAAAGGAATATTTGAATAATTTTTGGAAGAGGTTTAGGAACCACCCGGAGTCGGAGATTGACTCACCGGAGTGGATTCCTATTCGTATCCTGACGGGAACATCCGGCATGTGTCGCATCTTAAAGGTCCCGACGGAGCTGAGGATGTTCAGCGACATGTTGGCGATCTCAGCAGCGTGCTTGTTACCGTTCCTCTTTGGTAGACCTGACGCCACCATGTACGCGTCCCCAATGGTCTCCACCTAAAACGTCAAAGTCTTCTGACCGACGGTTCTGACGACTACAGAAAATAATTGAACAAGAGGCCGATCGCTACGATTAGCCGTCGGGCTAACTGACCTTGTAGACGTCGTGGTTCCTGAGCACAGCGTCAAACAGAGTGTAGAGGTCGTTGAGAAGGTCGACCACCTCGATGGGTTCACTCAGAGATGAGATGGTGGTGAAACCCACGATGTCGCTGAAGTAGATGGTCACCTGGTCAAAGTGTTCTGGCTCCACCGTGGCGCCGGTCTTCAGGGCATCGGCCACGGTGCTGAGAAAGGACAAAGATGTTAGTTACGATATATAAAACCGAACAACATGTCCAGAGTGTGGAGGTGAGTGAACTCACGGCGGCAGCATCTCCGACAGCAGCTTCTCTGTTCTCTGCTTCTCCACCTCCAGCTCCTCCGTCCTCTCTCTGATGAGGTCTTCCAGGTTGGAGCTGTACTGCTCCAGCATCCTCAGCATGGAGTCGATGATGTTGGTCTTCTTACCCTTGTTGATGATCTTGAACTGTCGAAGAACCGTTGGATCATTTTCAAACAAAATGAACTGCAATTTCAATTGAAAACAACTAACAATTTTAACCCTTTGTCTCACCCGGTCAAAGATCTCATCGAAGTTTGGTCTGCGGTCCGGCAGTTCACTCCAACACTGCTTCATCAGCTGGATACACTCCAGTGGAGCCTGGTCGGGGGCCACGGTGGGTCGACACATGGGGGGAGGTTTCTTCACCTTGCGGATGATCTCTGATGAGAGACGGTTTGGGAATTGAAAAAGGAAAAGTCTGTTTTTCTAGTCTTGACTGATTCAGCGCCTCCTTCAGGCTGACCCCGTACCTTCAGGTGGAAGACCCAGCATGCAGTATGGTGGTCCTCTGACCACCACCTCTTGTAGTATAATTGAAAAGCTGTACACGTCTCCCTTGTACGTCCCTTTACGTGAGTTGGCCACTTCCCTCAGCAGCTCTGGCGCCGTCCAAAATAGATCTGACATAACGACGTAACGGTTGATCATCTGCATATCCTTGAAATCTTTACTGAATATCATATAGACGTCCTTCAGACTTCATTACCTTCAGGTGGGCATTGTTTTATCGGAGCCTTCTGAGAGTCCAGCAGCTCGTTGAAGCCATGGTCCGTTATCTTGAGGACGAATCGTCCGTCCACCACGCAGTTACGTGACTTTAGTCTACCGTGGGCAAAATCTCTGTGATGGAGGTATTTCATTCCCTGCAAGAAGATCACGTCACATACAACGTCTATCAAGGCAGTGATGAGGTGAAGCTGAACGTTCGGACCACAGAATGTTTTGGTTTACCTTGATCAAGTCCAGCAGAAGTGAGGATTTGAACATCCAGTCCAGTTTAACGTCCTCGTTCCTCAGCAGGTCTTGTAGACTGCCTCGTGAACAATGTTCAGTCACCACGGCGAACATGGGGCAGTCGGAAAAAAAGCCCAGGAATGGGTTAACGTTCTCGTTCCTGAGGTCCTTCATCTGCAAGAGACACGAAAACAAAACACGTTTGGATTAAGATCTAACTGACACTGAAGTCTAAAGGTGTCGAGGTGTTTTGGGGTCAGGAAAAAGTTCTCGTACTTTTGTGAAAATCTTTGTGGTGGTTTGTTTCACCTCCTTGAACTGTCCCTCCTCAAACTTTTTCAGCCAAACCCAGTCGCCCTGGAAGAAACGTCACACCGTTTGGTCCAATCGTACTTCATTTGTATGATCATTTAAAGAGGAGATAACTGTTAACGTTTTAACATCTGGAGCAGACATCCACCTCATAGACGGCTACGTTGGTGGTCTCGTGAGTCGTGGTCAGGATGCTGTTGACAGAGTGTGAGCGACCTACAGATCTGTCATCCACCGCACTCTTAGATTCACTCAGGTCTTCCAGAGTGATTTTCTGAGAGAACCAAAAAAAAAGTTTTTTATAAATTATAGTATTTTATAAAAACACATTTAAAAATCTAAACACATGAAAAACACAAAATAATTTTATATAAATGACAGGTACAAAGTCCCAACATGGTTTACCTTTTTGCTGAGCTGAGGGTTGATAAAAGTGAGGTCCTCTATGGTGAGTAAGATCCGGTTGGGACCTTTGAACAGTTGGATTTGTTGGAGTCGCCGCCTGGACACAGTCAGAAGGTTTTGTACAAAAATATCACTTTTGGATTTGATGTTTGTTTATGTTTCAATGTTTATTTACACGTCTTTATTGTGTGGGGAAAATCCCACTTCAAATTCCGTCAAATGTTTCTTCTCACACTCCCCCTAGTGACCGCTCGTGCACTCCCAGGCGTGCAGGTATGTTATCCAGTTTGACTTACAGGTTGAAGAACCCACCGAAACCTTAACTAGTATCCAAGGGGGTCCGAAGCCTAACGAGCTGAGATGTTCACAAGGATGTGGTGCGCGGTTCAAAATCGGAACTTGCGGACGCAATGCAGCATTTTACGAACACGTATGGACATCAGTCAGTGGTTTTTTGTATCTACGAATGTTCAAATGTCGGATGTTCGTATCTTGCGGAACTGCTATACACTCTATGATTGTGACAACAACACATCAGTCACATGATGTTAAATGACACACGTACCTGACGTAAAGACTCAAAGTGAGGCCTCCTACGGCCAGAGAGGCGATGACCGCCAACACCACAATGATGTAGGTGACCTCCACACCTGAAGAGAAGATCAGGAAACATGTGGGAAAAAAACACTTAACACTGAGCTCAGGAATACATGTGCACCTACCTCCAGTGCAGATCGTATTCTTATCAAACCAGCATCTGGAGTCGGAGGGCGGAGGAGAGCCGCCGGGAAAACTGATGGAGCGTCCAGCCCACTGGAGTTTCCCGGAGACGGTGTTCACCACATACGTCTGGAACAGTTGACTCCCACCTCTGTCAGTGTCCAGGACAACATAGTTGGCCTTGACCTCTCCAGCAGAGTCCACCTTCATGTTTTGGTTAAAACCGGTGAAGGTGATGTTTTTTGTGTGAAAGGCCAAGTTTGATCCCGACAGCTTCACGCCTGCTCTCCTGGTTCTGTGGATGGAATGGGCCAGGATGTAGATGCTGTTGTAGATGGTTCCAAAGAGTGGGTTTACCTGCAGGGTGGACCGTGGGAAGGGAACGGTTTTGAGGGCATCATTTGGTAAAACCCAGGCATCGTGTTATCGGCTTTTCATTATCGAAGGAAAAACAGATAACGATTCTTACAGATATTAGATAATTATGCTAATATCAGGCCGATAATATCAGACATCATAAAAAAACTACTATTAAATTTAAAACATTAATGTTTAATGATATGGTTGTGTGGAGTGGTGGCCTGGTGGTTAAGGAAGCAGTAAAATATCAATTAAAGCAGACTTGTGAACAGAAGGTCACAGGTTCAAATCCCTACCGCACCCACCTGTTCTGCCAGTGTGGTTATCTCCAGTTCCTTATTGCTCTTGGCGGCAGTGAACGCCTCGTTGAAGGACAGCGGCTCAGAGGCTAAGGTGATGGTCAGGACGGCGTCGTAGGCTTCCCTCAGTCTGCTGTTGTTCTGGAGGGCCTTGTAGCTGACGTTGGTGTAGGGGAGGCTGTAGAGGAGCGTGTCGAAGGGGGTGAAAACG